CTATAAGAACTCCTTTCTCTCCAAAGTGAATTCTTATATACTGTGCCCACAGAGTGCCCACAAAGCGTCCAAATTTATCAATCTTAAACTTGCCGATTTARCTASTAKAWAAAAAGATATCTGGCTCCACTAGTCTGAAGATTTATACTCACAACGTATTGTAGCATAAACTCGACTAATATTTGAACAAAAGCTAAAAACATGCAAAAYCCGCATCTCTGCGTGATTATCAAAGACTCTCTCGAACCTTTGTGCATCATCTAAGCCGTATTTCAGATCTGCCCATCTCTGGATCAAGGATCTAATATTAACACTTTAAAGTGATCAGCTTATCCGTGTTGAGTTTACGTCCCGACTTAAATGACCAAGCTTAGGAATCAATAAAAATGGCAACACCMAAGTGTGCCCTTAAATCCTTAAGCTGGACTCACACCCACACCCAAAGGGGTGCTTAGCTCATATTGAAATTAGAAAACATAACAAAAATAAAAGAAGAAAGCTGCATAAGAAATACTTGAACTGAAAATAAATACTTACTGGTGCCCACAGAGGGCACACAATACAGYGGCGAGAATAAAAGCTGAACTACGAAAATTAAATTACAAACTGAAAATAAACTAGTTCTAATGCTACAAAGCTTTAAGAGGATGCTCCAAGGTGCTGGTGGAAAAGTTGGATTGAGTTGGATTGGAGATGCCTTTATGCTTGAGAGAAGTCTTCAAATATATAGGGGGAAAGGTGGGACCCAAATACTCTTTGTCCAATGGRTAATGACCACCCATCACCACATGTCTTCTTCAATCTTGACCAAGTCACCTCCTCATTGATAGGTTGCAAAAGGTGAGAAGTACTATCAATAAATGTGATGGAAAAGCCATTCCATCATGGTACAAATAGAACTCTTCCAAGTCTCATCATCCCATAACTAGGTTCAATCTTCCATGCAACCAAGTAATTAGATTTGAACTTAGCATTAACTCCCAATAATATCCAAGAATATGAATATCATAATTTTGTTCAAATCCAACTAGATGCATAATTTACCAACAATAATGAGTTTTTTTGGACAATAATTAAATTCTTAACCTCTCATCACCTCTTAACATAATTTGGACCAAAAATATAGAATATGAGCAAAATGGGTACCAAAGATACAATAAAATAGGGGTAATGGACAACAAATAACTCTAACAAAATGAGAGTTATCATGAGCCTACTGCTACTGAGGTGTTTGAGCGCATTCACTGCACGAACCGGAAGTTCGATCAAGGTTCGTCCGAACAGCCTACCGATCCTCCTCAGTTCAGTTACCCGAAAGCTGCTAGGTATCATGTAAGTTTTCTAAAACCATTACTTTGGTTAATAGATAC